AGAAAATCAAGAACATAAATTCAAATGATAAGCAGCTATGTTAATTTTATAGATATCTAGTCTTAACATTAAATTCATATGAAACGAGCTTCTTGTAATTTTGATGTTATCCAAATTATTGAACCAATGCATGCATATATACTAAACTAAGTCCTATATGCATGTTTTTTATATTCATTACGAATCTATATCATATTATCGACAAATAATATTTCATTCAGCAATTGTTGATTGCAAGCTTATCAACTTTCGAGTTTGTTGCCCAAACTTACCGGATCGTGACATTGATAAACTATCAACACAGAGCATGTTGAGCTCGTGACAAATAATTGATATTTTTTTTAATATTTTCCATGCGTTCTCATTTGTTAATTGAACTTTACCTGAACAGTTGTTAAATGATTTGTTGTATTGAATTTGTTCTTTCAGAATCACTATTTACCTACCAGTGCACCTTTGTTTACATTCTTCATCACGGTTTTCCCCGTCACACTTGCGCTGTGCGATGGCTGAAGTTCTAACGAGAGATCTCGATGTTAAGGTCACTGCATACAGGAAAATATTGGCAAATTAGTGTATGGGAAGACAATTATTCAATTGCTGTACATTTATGAAGATTTTGATGATATAAAGGATTTTCTTTTACAAAAAAGTTCACGTACACTTGTTTTATAGTAAAACTTTTATAGTAAAGCCATTCAAGTATATTAAACATATTCAACTTTTTTTCAAATTTGAAGTTTCATATGACTTTAACAATATAAAAAAACAATTCTTCCCTGGCCGGGTCAGACAAAAGACTTCAAAGTTGATATTTGGTATTCAATGATTCATATTCACATTTTTAAATTGATATCATCTTCTAGTATTCTCATGCAACAATTAATTTTAATTTGATGTTGCAAAAAAAACAACAATTACATTGTTTATTTTAGAACAAAATAAAATAATGTCGGACAATCAGAACTCCAAAATTTCCAAAAAGTGGGACAATCCGGAATAAACAATTTAATCTGTCACCTTCATGTAATTAGTGACAATTTATCTTTCTAATAACAATATGTTTTAATTATCATCATCAGATTATCAATTTAAATCTATTCTTCCAAGTTGATTAGATCAAAGACTCAAATGAGCAGAATGTTTCTGAAACAATGGAGAATGCTCTATACCAAACATTAAAATATTAGAAATATGAAATGTAAAAAAATTCTCAAACATTTCCATAATAGCAGGTGCACAACTTCAACATACATGCAATCTTCTTGTGAAGTTTCAGGGATCAGGGCTGAAATCTGTAGGAGGAGTTGATTACACAAAACATGTACCCTTTTTAAAAAATTTGGCTGAAAAATTACTAAGTTCCCAAGTCTGCAAAAATAAAAAATATAATTCTTCAAACAATTCCATAATAGCAGGTGCAAAACTTCAACATATGTGCAATCTTTTTGTGAAGTTTCGGGGATCTGGGTTGAAAACTGTAGGAGGAGCTGATTACACAAATAAGGTATCAACTTTTCCAGCCTGTCCATCCGCAGTCCTATATGCCGACATCACCATGCTAGAAGTTGGTTTTGGACTTCGTCCAGCTTGGTTAAATAAACAGCTGCGCCAAGAGCACATGATATGCCCATCGTCTTGTGTGTGAATTTTTATGCAATAAGCATAAATAGTTTCTGACATACAGCGTGACATGCGAAAACCCCCTTTTATTTTACAAAAAACTCAATATCTCTAGAATAAAATTTTGAATCAAAACCAAAAAGTATACAGATCTTTAGATTAATATAACTAAGAAGTGTGTAAAATTTTAAGCAATAATCATTAATCGTTTTTGAGATACGGCGCGACATGTGAAAACCCCATTTTAACAACAACAAAAATCAATATCTCAAAAATAAAATTTTGAATCAAAACCAAAAAGAATACAGATCTTTAGATTAATATAACTAAGAAGTGTGTAAAATTTTAAGCAATAATCATAAATCGTTTTTGAGATACGGCGCGACATGTGAAAAACCCCTCCCCCTTTTTTTACAAAAACTCAAAAATAAAATTTTGAATCATCACCAAAAAGTATACAGATCTTAAGGTTAATATAACTAAGAAGTGTGTAAAGTTTTAAGCAATAATCATAAAATGTTTTTGAGATATGGCGCGACATGTGAAAAACCCCTCCCCCTTTTTTAACAAAATACTCAATATCTCTAAAATAAAATTTTGAATCATCACCAAAAAGTATACAGATCACAAGATTAATATAACTAAGAAGTGTGTAAAGTTTTAAGCAATAATCATAAATTGTTTTTGAGATACGGCGCGACATGTGAAAAAAAACACACACCTGTTTTAGTTACTAAGTCCCGCAACTCAAAAAGTTTTAATCTTATTTTCACCAAAAAGTATACAGATCGTTTGACCATCATAAGAAACAACTATGTTAAGTTTCATGAAATTTGGATAAGTCATTCTCAAGTTACGGTGCGACATGTTTACGCCGGACAGACAGACGGACAGACAGACAGACGGACAGACAGACCGACAGACAGACGGCCGGACGCCGGACATTTGTATACCATAATACGTCCCGTCAAAAATTTGACGGGCGTATAAAAACAGTATAATCTTTGACAGTGAACAATATCACTCAATTTAATGGTTTTTTGTTAAATTTATTCATGTCAATTTAATTTTGTATAAATACTTGTTGATAATTTTGATGAATCAGATTGGACTCAGGAATTTTACATTAACCAGTCTATCCATAATAAAAGTATTCCATGCTGAATTATTGAATTATTCATATCTACTACTAGAGTCTCAAGTGTTAGTTTACACCCTAGTACCTTTTTCAGAGTTCCAGGCACACAACTCAGTCAGTGACCCAGCCTGTCATTGTCCTTCAGAGTATTCATCCATTGTGCTGTCAGGGGCATCACACAGTTCAGATACAAGCTGTCACTCAGTCAAGCTCTCGACAAAATTTAACCAAACTAGAGAACTGACATGCCAGCAAGGGCCCCGCTTACACATTTTTATGTGAGGCAAAGAGACTGATGCATACAAAGCAAATGTTCCTAATCATAGGTTGTCAATTTTAATAAATTTGGCACCAGCAATTAATTCAGGATGTGTTCTAAGACTAGTATATGTTTTGTTAAAATCCAAGCACTATGATATGTATTTTGGAAGGCATTTTCGTAAATGCTGGGCAACCAATAATTTTGACACAGTGAATCATTTCGTAATAGCAAATAATACCTTTTTCATTAAAATACTAGCAAAAAATATGATTCACAGAATTTATATTTAAAAACAAAAGTTTTTAACGCACTTTTGACTTCAAGAAACATATAACAGGCTATTATTTCAACTTGGAATTATTTTTAATTATGTTATTTTCATAATTTCTTCTGCTTGAAATTTTTAATAAATTCCATGTTTATTCTGTATTATAATGTTTTGAGAGGTGCAACACAATGTATTTTGTATAGATAGTGTTGTGCGCCGCACAGTACATCCTATTGAAAATGGGCTATCTTCTTTGTAATAGAAAGTGTTGTGAGCTGCACAGAACATTAAAATACAGAATAAACATGGAATTTATTAAAAATTTCAAGCACAAGGAATTATGCAAATTCCATAATTAAAAATAATTCCAAGTTATATTTGGAATGCAAATTATGCCTATATAATATATCTTTTTTTTATGACATGCTTCTACAGGAAGATACTTCTCAAAATGTGATTTTTAACAAAAAGTAACTTTTTACCATTTCTTTTTTAATTTGTCAATCACTTTGAAATTTTTAATAAATCAGATTTTGTTAAAATCCAATTATAAGAAGACATTTCTCAAAATTTGATATTGAAAAAACCCCCAAAGTTTTCCAAAATTGAAGAGCTGAATATCACCAAAATAAAATATGCACATCTATATATTATGTACAACAAATGTGCAAAATTTCATTGGCCTCCTACCTATACTTATGAAGTTTTTGTGTTTACAAAAGACATTTATGATTTTTTTAACAAAAACGATTTTTTTTCCAAAATTAATGAGCCAAATTTCACCAAAATATAATATACACAACAACTGTGCGAATGTCATTGGCCTCCTACATATACTTCTGGAATTTTTGTGTTTACAAAAGACATTTTCTCAAAATTTATGATTTTTTTACAAAAAAGATGTTTAAAAATTAATGAGCCAAATTTCACCATAATATAATATTCACATCTAAAAATTATGCACAACAACTGTGCAAAATTTCTTTGGCCTCCTACATGTACCTTTACTTTTGGAGTTTCTGAGACAGACAGAGTGAAAACTAAAGGGCTCCAGCATCCTCCATGTAGGCCCTAATTATCCACTTATAATAACTAATTATTACATGTATCCCATATTCAGTTCCAGTAATTGTTTAAAACTTCAGTTAAAAGTCATTCATTACAATTAATAATAAAAGGATTAAGACAATTAAAGCAGACGACCTCATCAGAGACCGTTCAGAACTTATTTCGTTCCGCGAGTGATTTCATAATTTATAGTGAACTTTGTAAATATTTGAGTAGACTATTGATTTTATTTGTGCATGATTTGTATCTGTACTTGTGTTTTTAATTATTATGAAGGATAAAAAAATATGGAGATTGAATACACAATCATAAAGTGTCATATCGAAAAAAAGGCACACTGTTCAAAGTATCTAGTTTACACAAATCATATACCGTATTTCATGCATTTTAAATATATGACGACACACTCGACCTCGGATGAGTCGAACCTCGGATAAGTCGAATACTTTAGTCCGGTCCCTTTGACTTCATCACAACGAGGTTCGACTGTATATATTTTGTAGCTTTACTGTCGAAATTGTAGCTAATGCTCCTTTAAAAGACCTTTCTTGATTACTATAAATTCTAATCTTTTGCATTTCATTTTTATTTATTTTTTTTGCATTTAACTATAGATATTCAACATGAATCATATCAGTTACCCATTTCAGCCTCTTTAGCACGATTTACTACTGAAGACATTTCCTGATTTAGTGACTGTACTTCATTTTTCAGAAGTTTGTTCTCAAGCTCTAGGGATGACAAAGTCTGTTGTGTTTCTCCAGTTGACTCCTGGTCTTGGCTACTATGAACACTGTTGCTAGGACTTTGATCCAACATAGCTTCAGCTAAAGTAGCAACATCTACATTTACATCTGTTTCTGAAGGACTTCCTCTTTCACTTCCTAAAATAACAAAACAGTTAATAAAATGGCTACCTTTAGTGAATCGTATGCAAATGTTAGAACAAGAAGTTAATAATGAAGGTCAATTAGCTAACAAGCAACTGGCTTCATTAAACATGTTAACCATTTAAAGACTACTCATGAACATGTATAGCAGTTGCAGGCTCAACATTTCTACGTATTCATATATATAATAAAATGCTCCGCTAGGCGCAGCTTGATACGACCGCAGAGGTCGAACCCTGAACAGTTGGGGCAAGTATGGACACAACATTCAAGCTTGATACAGCTCTGAATTTGGATTGTGATTAAATATTTGACACAGCATAGGTTTCTGACACAGAATGAATGTGGTCTAAGAACTTAAAAGTTTTTAATTTACCTATTATGGTCCAATATCCAAAATCTAAATTCCACACTTGTAACAAATATACTTTAAAAAAATATTTATATCAACACCTTTATATATATTGTGGCAAAATATACCAATTAAAATAAACTCATTAAGAACCAGTGTATTAAAAAATTAACTTACCTTCACTTGCCCTCAAGAACTGGTCATAATCTCATTTCAAATTTCCAATGGACTTTGCAACCATAAAAGCCCATTTAAATACATCATAAAAGTATTAAAATAGAAAATGACATCATAGTCATGGCTAAAATTAAAAAACCTTAATCAGCAACATTTTATAGTAATATCTAAGAATAAAATTCCTTTGCAACCATAACAGCCCATTTAAATACATCATAAAGGTATTAAAATAGAAAATGACATCATAGTCATGGCTAAAAATAAACAAAAAACCTTAATCAGCAACATTTTACAATAACATCTAAAAATAAAATTCCTTTGTAACCATAAAATCCCATTTGAATACATCATAAAGGTATTAAAATAGAAAATGACATCATAGTCATGGCTTAAAATAAACAAAAAACCTTCATCAGCAACATTTTATATTGGCAAATTTCCAATGGAGTTTATTATACTAAAGTTATTGGCAAATTTCCAATGGAATTTATTAATACTAAAGTTATTGGCAAATTTCCATATAATTTAAAACCAGTGTAGCTGAGATATTCAAATGAGTTTGAATTACAACCCCAATAAATTTGCAACCATAAAAGTCCATTTAAATACATCATAAGGCTATTAAAATAGAAAATGACATCATAGTCATGGCTAAAAATAAACAAAAACCTTCATCAGCAACATTTTATATTGGCAAATTTCCAATTTTTGAAGTTTATTATACTAAAGTTATTGGCAAATTTCCAATGGAATTTATTAACAACAAGCATTCTGAGAGTATTGCATGGCAATGCATAATCCCCTACCGGTTAAAAATTCATTATACTGGAACAAAATGCTAACTTGTTCTATAACTTGTCATGGTGTAAACAAAAAGAAAATATCAAGTCAATATCTTCAAGCATGACTAAAAACAGTGTGGAAAACTGAATATATGAGTGAATTTTTTCAAGTCCAAGGAACATAACTCTGCACAAAATTATCAGACCGAAACAAAAATTTGAACTTGACCTGTAACTTGTCATGATAAAACTATATACCAATTGTCAATCAATATCTTCAAGCATGATGAAAAAAAGTGTGAAAAACCTATAACACTTTAACATTAGATATGATCATTAATAGTTCTCTAAAATTAGATATGATGTAATACAATGTATATCTATTTTCAAATTACAATCAAATATAATTAATAGTTCCAAATATTTTTTCTTTCATTTTTCACAAACTAATATAGATTTGTAACTTATCTATAAAATGTCAACAACTTTTATCTACACAATGTAATGTAATGAAATATATACCTTAATATAAATAGATTATTATCTAATTAAAGGATTTGACTTAATAAAAAAAAATATATATATATATACATGTAGCATTCAGAAAACTAGTTTATACAAAATAACATATAAACCTGTCACAAAATTCCTCAATCAATTTACCAAAGAATGTCTTTTAAAAAAATGAGTTATCTCCCTTTGTACAGATATATGGTTTAACATAGTACTCTAACATTAGTTATGGATTTTTTTTATGGACCATAACTCTGGACTAAATCATCAGACCGGAACAAAATTCGAACTTGATCTATAACTTGTCATGATAAAACTATATACCAAATATCAAATCAATATCTTCAAGAACGAAGAAAAAAAGTGTGGAAAGCTGAGTTGATGGACTGACGGATGGACAGACGGACTGACAGACAGAGGGACAGAGTGTAAACCTAAAGTCCCCTTCGACTTCGTTGGTAGGGGACTAATAAAGTTATTGGCAAATTTCCAATATACATAATTTAAAAGCAGTGTAGGTGAGATATTCAAATGAGTTTGAATTACCAACCTTACACTGCTTTTAAATTAAGTTTTGTACTTAAGTAATTGCCCATTAACCTGGAAACCCTTGTTTTCCCCCCCTTTTTTGCCCCTTATTCCTTAACGGTTTGATCCATAACCCCCCAAAGCCAATTCTTACCATCCCTTTGTGGTATGGAAACTTATGGTATAATTTCAGAGAGATCCATACACAATTCCACAAGTTATTGTCTGAAAACTAGAATAAAATGCTCCGCTGGGCGCAGCTTGATACGACCGCAGAGGTCGAACCCTGAACAGTTGGGGAAAGTATGAGAACAACATTCAAGCTTGATACAGCTCTGAATTTGGATTGTGATTAAATATTTGACACAGCATAGGTTTCTGACACAGAATGAATGTGGTCTAAGAACTTAAAAAAAAATTTACTTTACCTATTCAAACCATATCATTATTATTTGCTTTTATATATAAATCAGAAATAACCAATTTAAAATGGAAAATTTTAAAGAAAAAAAGAGGAAAAAAAAATCCCCCCCCCAAATTTTATGTACCCCCTTATGATTCAGCACCCCCAAACTCAATCCCAGCCTTCCTTTTGTGGTATGGTACCCTGCAGTACAATTTCAGAGAGATCCATATACTTGAACACAAGTTATTGTCTGGAAACTAGAAAAATGCTTGTTTTTTTGCCCCTTTTTAGCCCCAAATTCCTAAACGTTTAAGGCAATTACCCCCAAACTCAAACCCAGCTTTCCCTTTGTGAGGAACCTTGTAGTACAATTTCATAAAGATCCATACACTTACACACAAGTTATTGTCCTGAAACTAGAAAAATGCTTCTTTTTTGCCCTTTTTTGCCCCTAATTCCTAAAATTTTGAGGCAATTACCCCCATAATCAATCCTAGCCTTCCCTCTTTGGTATGGTACCTTGCAGTACAATTTCAGAGAGATCCATACACTTGAACACAAGTTATTGTCTAGAAACTAGAAAAATGCTTATTTTTGGCCCCTTTTTGGCCCCTTATTCCTAAACGTTTTGGGCACTTACCCCCAAACTCAATTCCAGCTTTCCCTTTGTGATATGGAACCTTGTAGTACAATTTCAGAAAGATCCATACACTTACACACAAGTTATTGTCATGAAACTAGAAAAATACTTGTTTTTTGCCCCTTTTTTGGCCCCTAATTCCTAAAATTTTGAGGCAATTACCCCCAAAATCAATCCCAGCATTCCCTTTGTGATATGGAACCTTGTGGTACAATGTCTAGAGATCCATACACTAACACACAAGTTATGTCTGGAAGTTACAAAAATGCTTATTTTTGGCCCCTTTTTCCTTAACTGTTGGTACCATAACCCCCAAAATCAATCCCAATCTTCCTTTTGTGGTATTGAACCTTATGGTAAAATTTCATAGAGATCTATTCACTTAAACTAAAGTTAGAGTGCGAAAACCAATGTGTCTTCAGACGACGATGACGACGCCAACGTCATACCAATATACGACCGCAAAATTTTTTTGCGGTCATATAAAAATGCTTATTTGGGCCCTTTTTTTGCCCCACATTCCTGTTGGGACCAAAACTCTCAGCATATCAAAGAACCCCCATAATTCAATTTTTAATGAAATCAAACAAAGTTTAATTTTGGACCCTTCGGACCTCAATGTGGATAAATTTAAAAACAAAGCCCAAAATCCAACAAGAGGCTGTCAGAGTGACAGCAAACCGGATTTTCCTGCAGAGGTCGAACCCGAACTGTTAAGCAAGTATGGACACTACATTTAAGCTTATAACAGCTCCGAATTTGGATTGTGATTGAATATTTGACACAGCATAGGTTTGTGACACAAAATGAATGTGGTCAAAGAACTGAAATATTTGAAATTTTACATTTACCTATTATGGTCCAATATCCAAAATCAAAGAACATATTAGAATCAGCATATCAAAGAACGCCAAGAATTCAATTTTTGATGAAATTAGACAAAAGTTTAATTTAAGACCCTTTGGACCTCAATGTGGACCAATTTGATAAAGGAGCCCACTATCCAAAATCTCTCAATACATGGTTAGATTCAGCATTTCAAAGAACCCCATAAATTCAATTTTTGTTGAATTAAACAAAGTTTAATTTTGGACCCTGATTTGGACCAACTTGAAAACTGGGCCCAAAAATCTAATATTTAAATACAGGTTTAGATTCAGCATTGGAAAGAACCCTATATATATTTAATCTATGTTGAAATGAAACACAGTTTAATTTTATCCATAATATTTTCTGTGCAAAAGGGAAATAACTCAAACTGGATAAATAGTTCTCTAAAATAAGAGATGATGCAATTTTTCAAATTATAATCAATAATATAAATATGCGACAACCTAACCATCTGAGAAGTTTTAATTTTTTGCACTAAATGACCCCACCCTTCCCCCTGGGATGAAAAGGGGGTTTTACATTTTCATATTTGAGTAGAGCTCGTTAAGACCTTCAATTTGATATATCAAATGACCCCATTTGGCAAAGTGCCAAAAATGATGCAATATCAATTATATAAATAGAACTTATGAAACTTACAAAGTCAATGCAAAACATGAAAATTTCAAATTGATTTTTTGGGTTTTTTTTTTCATTGAATGTTTT